ATAGGATGTCGGCCATGAGTTGTAGCGGCTCGCTTGTTTGGGTGCGAGCAAAGATGTTCCAGACGCGAACAGTCCTGTCCCAACTTCCACTAACCAGCGTACCAGCATCAGGGGAAAATGACAATGATGATACAGGGCCCTCGTGGCCAGATAGCCTGTCGAGCAACTGGCCGGTCTGCACGGACCAAATGTGAATATCAAAAGAATCGATAGAGCCCGCGCATACGACCTCGCCGCTTGGGTCAACCGCTAGGGACGAAAAGGAAAGCCTCGATGGCGCTGTGAAAGTGCGGAAGTTGCGGTACCGGTGGAGATCCCAAGCCCTGATGGAGCCATCAAGACTGGCTGTGAACAAGACGTTTCCCTTCTTCGCGAACTCGCAGGCCGTCACACCGCCCATATGTTCTGTGAACGTGACGACACAGAAACCGGAGTTGACTTCCCAGACTTTGATCTTGCCATCGTCTGCCGCTGTTATTATCCGTTGACCGTCTGGCGAGTAGGCGATTGTGTTCATCGAGTCGAAGTGGCCCTGCTGCTTCAAAATGTACGATTCCGACTGCCATTCCCACACAAGTAGCTGGCCGAGTTTCGACGCGCCAAACGCTAGCCATTCTCCGGTCTTGTTGATGGCGACGTAATCGATGTCGTTCTGCGAGATGCTGAGGCTGGAGATTTGCGCGAATTCTGGTAGCTCGTGGATGAAGAAGGCACCGTGAGAAAAGCCTGTCACGAGCAGTTTCGACTCGGGATGGAAGCTGGCGCATGTGACATGCGCATTGTTCTGATGGAAAAAGTGACGTTCCTGGATACCCCATTGTAGATTTTCGTCGTCGTCAGGGTCGGCGTCGGCGGGCGCATCGTAGCGTAGCATGTATTTCCAGACGAACAGCGCTCCATCCTTGCTGACTGTGTAGATAGTCTCTTGATCCTTGGAGAACCAGGCGCCGACTACTTCCTGCCTGTGTCCACCCAGTGTAGTCTGCGCATGTCCTTCTGCTTGATCCACGCTCCATATCCGCGCCGTCATGTCTTTGGACGCGCTCAGGAAAAATCTCGAGTCGCTAGACCATTCTATGCTCTGGACTGAATTGTAGTGTCCTGTGTATATCCGGTGGCGCACGAAGGGCGCAAACTCAAGGTCACCCTCCGCAACGTCTGGAGTGGATGGTGTGTGCCATACTTCAATCTGCCTTCCTATGCCTACTGCGAAATGCCGGCCAGAAGGAGAGAAAGCGATCGAGGTGACTTCGCCGCGGAGAGAGAAGTGGTAGAGTACGATGCGACGAGGAACATTGGTGAGGACTGCGCGACCGTCTTCATCGACCGAGAGGAGGAGGTTTCCGCGGGGGTTGAGGGCTAGGCGTGCGATGTTCTTCCGGTGCGCAAACGGAAGCGTGTATGATTTAGAGCTGACTAATGATCAGCGCATATCGAGAGCGGCAGCCGCGACTTGGAGCCTACCTCACAAGGTCGAAAACCGTGACCCGGTTACCAACGGGCGACAGCAGACATGTGCCATCGGGCGTGAAGAGAAGATTGCCTCTGCTGTAGACGGTGCCCAGCAGGTTGGAGAACTGTGGGTGTCAGACACGAACATTTGCACGGCAGCACTCAACTCACCTGGAAGTCAGTCTTCATCTTCAAAATATCGTGGCTGCGGTCTCGTCATGTCGTGGCGGGCATGATGGTCGCATCTTGAACTTTTTCGAAGCTCGGATCATCGCAGGACGCGCTAGTGGAGTAGTGTGCATTAGTCGCGGTTTCCCCGTTCAGGGTCAGTGCTTGCCGAATGGGCGACTGGCAGAAAGGGGACTGCCCAAATTGTCTACCAACACCACACCTCCTCACCAGACCCCATATCGCACCTCGTTCAGCAACCTCACTGCTGACTTGCTTTTCATCCGCCGCCTCCACGTATGTTTTCACGCCGCACTCCCCGGAGATCAGGCTCCATATAGCTAACACCACGCAGACCCCATACACACCAGCGGTCAACCACACATCAGCACAATGGCCGAGTCCGCGTCCCCCATTGGCATTGCCAATGTACGTATACCATCTGCTCAACCTATGTCTTCAATTCGTATACTAACATGCATTGCAGCTGCCCAACCAGAGGTACTATCAACAAAGCGGACACGCAGCTTCGGCCCTAACGTAGCACAGGCACAAGATTGTTGCAAAGCGCGGTGCTGCCTTTACCATAATGGTACGCATACCACCCCCATGATCAACCGGCTTCAGTCTAACTAGCTCAGGTTGCTGGCGAGTCTGGTCTCGGAAAGACCACCTTCATCAACACCCTCTTCTCCACCACCATCAAGAACTACGCCGACCACAAGCGACGACACCACAAGCAGATGGACAAGACCGTCGAGATTGAGATCACCAAGGCCGAGCTCGAGGAGAAGTTCTTCAAGGGTATGCAGCGACATCATGCTATTCCTTCTCTATTGCTAACACACCCAGTCCGTCTTACCGTTATCGACACCCCCGGTTTCGGTGACTACGTCAACAACCGCGACTCGTGGCAACCCATCATCGAGTTCCTCGACGACCAGCATGAGTCGTACATGCTTCAGGAGCAACAACCGCGCCGCTCTGATAAGATCGATCTCCGTGTTCACGCCTGCCTGTACTTCATCCGCCCCACCGGCCACACCCTGAAGCCCCTGGACATTGAGGTCATGAAGAAGCTGTGCACACGCGTCAACTTGATCCCGGTGGTAGCCAAGGCCGACACACTGAGCCCAACAGACCTGGCCAAGTTCAAGGCGAGGGTAAGTTGGTCCATCTACATGTCACCAGCAAATACTGACCGCTTTTAGGTGCGCCAAGTGATCGATGCTCAGGGCATCAAGATCTACACTCCCCCTCTCGAGGACGACGACGCCGCCGCCATGCAACACGCACGCGGTCTCATCGATGCCATGCCCTTCTCCGTCATCGGTTCTGAGAAGGACGTTCAGACCAACGACGGCCGCACCGTCAAGGGTCGCCAATACGCCTGGGGTGTTGCCGAAGTCGAGAACGAGGAGCACTGCGACTTCAAGAAGCTCCGCGCTATTCTCATCCGAACCCACATGCTCGACCTCATCCACACCACGGAGGAGAACCACTACGAGGCCTACCGCGCTGGCCAGATGGAGACAAGGAAGTTCGGCGAGGCGCGCCCAAGGAAGCTCGACAACCCCAAGTTCAAGGAGGAGGAAGAGGCGCTCCGCAAGCGTTTCACCGAGCAGGTCAAGGTTGAGGAGCAGCGCTTCAGGCAGTGGGAGCAGAAGCTTATTGCTGAGCGTGACCGCCTCAACAAGGATCTCGAGGCCAGCCACGCGGAGATCAAGCGTCTTGAGACGGAAGTGGACAGCCTCCAGGGAAGCATCAACCGCTCTCACGGCCGTCGCTAGACGCACCTTTTGGCGTTGGTGGTGTTGCACGTACAGAGATGGTGCAGCGATTCAGCATGGTCGCACTAATTCTCCACATTCTTCCTTCAAGATTCCCCTTTCTGTTTCCGTAACTTCGGTTCTCATATGTCTGTAATGTCGCGCCGCCGTGGGGATCACTGTAGGCGACGCGTATCTAGGCTTGAGCTAAAACAGCATGTCATAGCTTATAGTTGTATAACTTGGTATTAATCTATTATGAAGACCGCTGGTCGCTAAATCTTCTTGCTGGGTATAGTGATGTTGAGATGGTGGACTTAAACCTGTAATCCGCCAAACACCCTATCCAGCTCCTCGCCTTCCTGTGCTTTGCGCTCCGCCTGCGGATCTAAATCCATCAGGTTCTGCTCCGGCACCTTTTCTTCCTTAGCCGACTCATTATTATCGCTAGGTCCCTCCGGCTTAATAATATGCACACCACTATCCAACCACCCAGGCGCAACCCTCCTCTTCTCCGCGAGATCCTCCTTCCGCCGCCTCTCCTCCCACTCCGCCAACGTCCTCCTCGCGTCTGCTTCCAGCTTAGCAAGGTGCTCTTGTAACGCAACACACGACGTGAGTATCTGGTCTGGATGCGCTGATGTGCCCGTTGACGAGGTGACGTATGCTGGTTTCGACGCAGAGGCGTTGGGGTTGGACGGGTCTTGCTGTTGCTGCTGCTGAGAGAGGATCGAAGGTGGCAGCGTCGACGGGAGGGTTACGTAGGAGTATGGCAGGGGGACGGATGTGGGGAGGGATAGAAAAGGCGAGAGTGTTAGGGGGACTTGGGCGAGGAGGGGGTGGGGGTCTGTGGGAGTGGTGTTAGTGAGGTTCGCGCTTGTTGTGTTGTGCTGGGTTGAGGAATGCGATGCGATGCGACGGGTAGCCACACTTCAGAGCGAGCATGCTTGAATGAGACGATGCTGAGGTCGCTAGTGGTCTCTCAACATGCTCTCAAGCGATACCCTGACATTGGAGCTCACAACTGATCGCATGTTCTCGCCATCCGCGCGCACGTCGCGCTGGACGTGCATCGTAGTGGGGAAGACGGTCTGAGAAGCACTCACGTTCGTCGTGCATATTCGATATGGCTATATGCGTATATCAGATTCCGTCGATTTTGCCAAAGTAGCAGTATCAGGGCGTATATCCAGTCTTGTCGAGTACGGTGGGGCGTAACTTTGCGGGAATGTTGCTGCAGGGCTTGGGGTTGTGGAGGCACGAGGTGTTGGTGGGGAAGCTCCAGGTTGAGTGGAGCTGCTGACGCAGGTACGGAGTTCCAAGGTTCCACGGTTGGAAGCTGCGATCACGCATTATGCATGTGAGATGGATGCGGGCAGATTGTTTGTGGGGTGCATACACGAAGACAGTCTTGGGGAACGGTTTATCTTGCGTGTTGATGGGGAAGTCATTTCTTGTGGCATTATGGATGGATCTTGAGTGTAGCGAAAGTGTATCTATATTTCCACTACCCTTTCACTAGATTGCATTTGGGTTGGATCTTGTATGTACTTGACGCAACAAGAAGAAGAGAAGTTTATGTATGTGCGCGTGAATGTCCCCCATGTTTGCCTACCTGATCTTGGCAGAGCAAGTGAATGGTCTCGGACCGGGAATTGTGTAGCTGGTCGGGATCGGCCAGTACAGTTGAAACTTAATCCCCGGGTCAGTCGCTTTGTATGCACCTGGAAAGCTGACAGTCGCCGGACTGGCACTGCCACCTCCTGTCACATTGATTTGAGCACACTCCATATAGAGTTGAGCACCGGGGTAGTTTGAGGCGGCATGGAGAGCAATGAGCTCTGCGCGAAGGAGGTACCTGGAAAGACCCGTGTCAGTCGACCATATAGATTTGGCAAGAACTTGGAGATGACTTACTGTCCACTGGGAATGCATGACGGCAGTACAAAGTCTACCAGGCCCTTGTTGTTATACAGTCTTGTAACGGCCCACTCGCCATTGGCATCCATACCATCCTCGTAGATCTTAAACCACTTGAGTCCCGTCACTTTGGTAGACAAGGCATCATCGACTCTGGCAAGGTAGACCATGATGGGTCCCAGATGACCGGGGTCAATTGGATCTGACTTGTCCGTCTCGGGCTTGGAATCGAGCGTGTGGTGCCACTCGGCAGTGAGCTTGTCTCCAGCTTTGACCTGACAAGGAGTAAGCCGAAGCCATGTGGCGTTATTGCTTATTGCGCAACCAGCGTACATTGATGATGTCTTTGGGAAGAGGCGTTCTGTAGGGGTTTATGCTGAATGCGGGTCAATCTAGCGCTTGGTTCCACGCTTTGTAATGCTTTACCCGCCATTACAGATCACATCGTTTGATGTAACGTCCGTTATTGGTCTGGAAACGTAAGTGAGTTGGAGTTCAAAAGGCGATTGCGGGGTGCATTACCCGTCGTAGGTCTGTGTCGTGCTGTTAGCAGGGGAGCAACATGGGAATCGTGAACATGCTCACCGGCACTCGAATCCCCTTAGTGTGTCCTTGCGCCACGCCATTGACGTGTAGCTGGGTGAAAATTGTGTGTGCCGAAGCGCTGGCCAGTAAAGCACAAGTAACCGCATAAGCCTTCATCATGTAGGCTACTACGTTAGATCCTGAATGTCCTCATCAACGCGTCGATGAATCTTCCTATATGCCATTGTTGTGCACCGTTCTCAAGCTGTCCAAATGGAACACGGCATTATTGTTCAAATCTGGTCGACCTTCCAGTTCGGCACGCATGCGACTCGCGGTAGACTCGCGTGACCAGAGACACTTTAATCCCAATCTATTTCGCCCGCCGTAACGCACTTTTGAAAATATACTGTGTATGCACGAGACACGTGCTTCGTGGATTCTTCAGAGCATAGAACCCTCGGCATATTCCAAATAGGCAACGAGCACCAATGCGGTCGTGACTGCGCGTTCTTTGAACCGGCGGTTGGGTGGAAAAACCGCAGTATTAATTACAGGGAGGAGGATATGACCGAGACATGCCGCGACACCGTGGCGCGGCTCTTGGAATGTGGGAAGCGAGAGGAGGAATGCGTAATATAATAGATTGTGTGTTACTGGTCTGGTCAAGTGTTTCAATCAATGAAACGTGCGCGTCTTGTCGGTCAGCGAGAAGGCTTGGAAGCCGTCCTTCATTTTGGGGCAGCCTTGCGGAATATGCGGGAAGAAGCCGGTACCGAGAAGGCTGTGGCGGTTGCACGAGGTCAAGGGCACAGACTTGATAATCCTTCCGACGAAGCTGGTGGTGCAGATGGTGCATTTGAAGAGGCTGATGCGAGGCGAAAGCGCGAAAGTGACGGTCCATCCCACCAGCCACTAAACGATTGTGGGGAAGCCTGGGCCCGAACGGGCAAGGGGCACATGGCTAACGGCGATGCTAAGTCGCAGTCCCGGCTTCTGTCAATCTACATCAATCAATCCACCCATGCCGCCGTAGTTTCGACATATTAACGACTAACCTTGAATCTCGGCCAGATCACCTACGTTTTGAAACAGCCAATGACGATGTCGCCCACGGTAATCACGCCCCTCGCTTGGCCCATCCTAGCCAGCGCGCGTCTTCCGTACCTGGTTCAATGCGCACTTCTGCCGCCTCCAGAAGGAAGTTCCCCAGGTAGTGGCTTGGCCACGGGTGTCAACCCCATACACGGCGGCGTAGTCTAGCATGATGTTGATATGTATATAACACGTCCGCACCCTGGCATAGCGATAGAGGCCACAGCTACAACTTGCGCTTGTCAATTCATCTCATCTTCGACGTGCTGGTAACAAGTCTCCAAGATGAAGACCTCTTCTTTCGTTCGAGCGGCTTCGCTACTATCCTCTCTTTTCACCCCTCTCGCTCTTGCGCAGGAAACGTTCACCCACGAAGGCACCGGTATTGAGTTCTGGCGCCAGACAGTCAGTGACGCCCAGACTGCAGGTGGTTTCGAGTGGGGTTGGGTACTGCCTGGAGAACCTACTGGAGCCAACGACGAGTACATTGGTTACATTGTAAGTTATAGCAAGTCTACGTCGATGCTGCAGCCGCTAATGTTCCCCAGAAAGGTTCGCTCGAAGCAAACAGGCAGGGATGGTCCGGTGTCAGCCATGCTGGTGGCATGCCAAACTCTCTTCTCCTCGTTGCATGGCCGGAAGAAGATGCCGTCAAGACCAAGTTTGTCTGGGCAGGTGGCTATGTCGCTCCTGAGGACTACACTGGCAACGCGACTTTGACTCAAATCTTCCACTCCGTCACCGACACACACTTCGAGATCGTCTACCGATGCGAGCACTGCTGGGTCTGGAACCAGGGCGGTGCTGAGGGCTCTCAGCTTCCCACTACTGAGGTCAACGTTATCGGTTGGGCCCAGCATGACAAGATCTATGACGGTACCTGGGTTTTCCACAACAAGGGACAGTCTCAGTTCGGCGCTCCTACTGCGGACGCGAGGAACGCAAAGTACACCGACTACCTCAAGTTGGTAGGTGGCCAGCCTTCTGGTGCACCTACACCGACCAAATCCGGTCAACCATCAGCTACGCCCACTCCAACAACACCTGTAAAATGCCAGGGATCACCCGCTCCTTCAGGCTCCTTCGACTACATTGTCATTGGCGGTGGTGCTGGAGGTATTCCCGTAGCGGACAAGCTTTCTGAGTCTGGCAAGAGTGTTTTGATGCTCGAGAAGGGCCCGCCATCTCTCGCCCGTTTCGGTGGAAAGATGGGTCCTGACTGGGTTACCAGCAACAACCTGACCCGCTTCGACGTTCCCGGTCTTTGCAACCAGATCTGGGTTGACTCTGCTGGTGTTGCTTGCACCGACATTGACCAGATGGCTGGCTGTGTTCTTGGTGGAGGCTCTGCTGTCAACGCTGCGCTATGGTGGAAGCCTGTTGATATTGATTTCGACTACCAGTTCCCTAGCGGCTGGAAGTCGGCTGACGTCAAGGGCGCAATCGACCGTGTCTTCAAGCGCATTCCTGGCACTGACACTCCTTCCGTCGACGGAAAGCGCTACAAGCAGGAAGGCTTCGATGTCCTCTCGGGTGCGCTCGGTGCAGATGGCTGGAAGAGCGTCGTTGCAAACGACCAACAGAACCAGAAGAACCGCACCTACTCCCACTCTCCATTCATGTACGACAACGGCCAGAGGCAAGGCCCTCTCGGTACTTACATGGTCTCCGCGCTTGCGAGGAAGAACTTCAAGCTCTGGACTAACACCATGGCCCGCCGTATCGTCCGCACTGGTGACACTGCTACGGGTGTTGAGCTTGAGAGCGGTGTTGGCGGCACTGGCTACTGCGGTACTGTCAACCTCAATCCTGGAGGCCGTGTCATTGTTTCCGGTGGAGCTTTCGGATCCTCCAAGGTTCTCTTCCGCAGCGGTATTGGACCAAAAGACCAGCTGAGCATCGTCAAGAACAGTGCCCTCGATGGCTCGACTATGATCAACGAGTCTGACTGGATCAACCTTCCTGTTGGCCAGAACTTGAACGACCACGTCAACACCGACCTTGTTATCAAGCACCCCAACATCTCCTTTTACGACTTCTACAAGGCGTGGGATGCTCCCATCGAGAGCGACAAGGATCTGTACCTTTCCAAGCGCTCTGGTATCCTTGCTCAGTCTGCACCCAACATTGGTCCCCTCGCTTGGGAAGTGATCAAGGGAAGTGATGGCATTGATCGATCGATCCAATGGACTGCTCGTGTTGAAGGTCCCGGTGCCAACGACACCCACCACCTCACAATCAGCCAGTACCTCGGCCACGGCTCTACCTCGCGTGGTGCGCTCTCCATCAACGGTGCTCTCAACGTCTACGTCAGCAAGGCGCCCTACCTACAGAACGAAGCCGACACCGGTGTAGTTGTTGCTGGTATCAAGAGTATGATGAAGGCTATCCAGAAGAACCCGATGATTGAGTTCCAGGTACCATCACCCAACATGACGGTTGAGGCATACGTTGCCAGCCTTCCCAAGACACCGGCTGCTCGTCGCGCCAACCACTGGATCGGTACCGCGAAGCTTGGAACCGACAGCGGTCTTACTGGCGGAACAGCTGTCATAGACCTCAACGCTCAGGTATACGGAACGAAGAACATCCACGTCGTCGACGCATCTATGTTCCCTGGGTAAGTTTCATTCCTCTTCTCAAAGCTCGGTCTCAAACTAACATGGCACAGCCACATCTTCACCAACCCTACATCTTACATTGTCGTGCTCGCAGAACATGCTGCTGCTAAGATCCTTGCACTTGGTGCAAGCAGTGGAGGTGGTAAGCCTTCGTCGTCCGCTCCGTCATCCGCCAGTACCGCTAAGCCCTCATCTTCCAAGGCTCCGACTAGTTCGTCAGCTGCCCCTGTGAAGCCATCGTCCACACCAGGAAAGTCATCGGCTGCGCCGACCAAGACATCTGCAGCACCCTCAGCTACTCCTACCAAGACGGCAAACGCCTGGGAACAGTAAGTGGACAAAGCACTTTCATGCATTGAACACATACTAACTTCAAATCAGATGCGGCGGTCAAGGCTACACTGGTCCGACAGCTTGTGTCAGCGGATACAAGTGCGCAGTGAACAACACATGGTTCTCTCAGTGCGTCCCTAAATAGGGGACGCACATCCATCTCCTGCCCCGATCTCGACATTTGATACATCTGGGGCATCTTCTTTGTACATACTTTAGCTTCAGTGAATATCACTCGCTCTTCCTGCAACTTCGTGTCTCGATTGCTTTGCCTGAACTCGTGAGCTGAAAATCTTGGAAGATTCGCAGAATGTCTGGGAGCCGAGGTGACAGACGCGTGACCAATGCGGAATAGCGCGCGTCTTATCGCGCCCCGCATTTATGCATCTTCCATCGCAACTTGCTGATCATCTCATCCCAACTTTCTTTAGCTTTCCAATACCTTCATAATCGCGTAACATTCCTAAACCCTACGTGACTTGGGTGTTGCACACTTTTTGGCTCCCCCACACGTACATGATGCCGTCCAACTGCCCAGCCACCTCTGCCAAGAGCGTCGATGACGCGTCGAGAAACGTGACGGAACTGCTCCATCAACGGCTTCAAAGTAGCCCCAAAGATGACTGGGGACGATTGTTTGAGTGTTGGGGTTATGATGATTGTGGTGACTGTCATCGGAGTAAAGGCCATTGCGGGTGGTGTGCGATTGTATGTTCACATCTCCTCCATCGACTTGTCATGCATTCACCCCTGGGATACCGCGATTTATGACTGACTCACTTTAACAGTCCTCGACGTGCCTCCCATTACCTATGGACGCTTTATCAAAAGCTTTTCCTCTTCTTTCACCCATTCGCTACGACTCGATATGCGCTTTACCATCTGAGCGCTTTGAGCTGCGTACCTCGGGATTGGGCTGCCAAGTGTCTACAATCACGTTCTTGACGTCCATCGCGACTATCTTCTGTACGCTCTTTGGTGTTCTGGTGCTGTACAGTCTTGCAAAGTGTATCAAGTGGGTTGGCTTTGGCGCAAAGGCAAGTAGCGGCGGCTACGCGCTCTATGAGGATGGAACGGAAGAGGTGTGGGTAAGAAGAGGCGAGAGTTGGGGGAAGTGGTGGCGAAGAGTGAATGGCGAGCAGAAAGAATTCGAGGTTGAAGAGATGGATGGGGGGACGCGTAAGAGAGGCTTTTTCTGGTGGAATACGAGGGATGCAGAGAGGAGACCTTTGCTTGAGTGATGGGGTGTGAAGATGATCGTTCGGCCTACGTTGGACGATACTGGTGTACTGGCGGCACATCTATTCCAGCGGCTAGGCTATCTGCGTCACTATCGCCTGCTCGACACTCACTCGCCCCTCACCTCCGCGTCTGCCTTCCCGAATACGTCATTGTCCAGAAACGTCCGATATTTCACTTCCCGTCCTTAAGCAATATCACCTGCTCTCACCCAGATCCACGTCCGAGCTCGCACGCACTAAGGCCATATAAACAAGCTCTCCTCCGACCAGCTCTTTTCCTCCACCGTACACCCCGATAACACTGCGGTACCTTACCTCCAAACAACTTTTCTTCTATTCACGACTACGAAGATTCTACAGAAAGCTACTCCATTAGACATGGACCGGATGCGCCAACGCGGACGTTTCGGTCGAGCCAATTCGATGTGGATTCCCGGCTCCTTCAGTGACAGCGATAGCGGCGATCAATTCAGTCCCGCTGCTCACACCCCGCCAAGCTCTGACGAGTACCCATCGCCTTCCAGCAGGATGTCTCCCAAGGTCAAAACCGCTGGTCTTCGACCACTCCAGGAAATCGCTGAAGAGGCTAACATGTGTGCGGCGTCCCAGCTTGCGTTCGATAACGACGATGAGGCCTTGGCTCAACTCGAAGCTCGGATCGAAGAACTCAACGCTGAGTATGAGCAAGCTCTGGGTGGCCAACCTGGTAAGAACAAGGAACACGGCCCTGCGGACGCCTTCAGTAACGAGCGCGAAGAACACGACGAGCAAGATCCCGCTGGACACGGCGCACACGGCCGCAACGGACCCGCCGGACTCCGAGGGCTGGTTAAAGCCCACGAGATGGCAGTGAAGAAGTCTATTGACAGTGCCCGTAACATGATCGGGGCGTTCCCCTCAGCCGTCGATCTTTTCCCCGTGTACAACAACATGCGCTCCGCGGTTGAGCACTCCAACCAAGTCGCGGGAGGTATGATTGGTCAGACTCCAAGGCGTGTCTTTGACCCCTTGCTGTCTCCCCGGCCCTACGGGAACCATCGACGTCAGGTTGAGACACATTCACTATCGCATACCGACACCGCTCCTCCTCTCTCGGCGGAAGTCAAGGCTTCTCCTTCTGCTACACGAGCCGATGATCAGGGTGAAGAGCAGTCCGTGAAGAAGAAGTGGAGTACTGTTAAGGTCAAGTCTGGAGATGATGATGGCAATAACCCAACTGCAGACTGGCCAAACGTCCCTTTGACACACTTGAGCAATTTTGTTTGGTCGACTGTGCCGTCCATGACATTTTCCCATGCTCGCACTGCAACGAGCGCATCTAGGTCACCGCTTCCTGAGCTCAGAACTTTCGAGGACGTCCACAGCCAGATTCGCGAGCAGGATATCGAAACCATCCTGAAAGCCGATAACATGGCTGCTCAACGTTGGCACGAACGCGAGTTTGCTCCTGTTTCTTCGTCGAGCGGGCCTGCAGCCCTGCAGCCTGAGTCCGCTACTTCGCTTCTAGACCGCACGCACGCAAAGAAGAACGCAGCCAGCCAGCCATCGCTAGAGACCCATTGCGGTGTCCACACGGGTCAAGATCACAACGTCGGCTGTATTACCCTCAAGGAAGGTATCTCACCCATCGATCTTCTGAATCTTCTAGATAACTCCGACATTTCCGACATTTCCGATATCGAGTTCGAGATCGAAGACGACTGTGCCGAGGTCAAGAACGGCGACGCGACTGCCGGAACTACTACTTTGGAGCCGCGTAAATTCGTTCCGACTGTTACAGAAGACGATAAGCAGGCTCGCGTATCAGTACAAGGTCTCAACTATGCTCTTAGTACAGATGGAGAAGAGTACAGCGACTCCGACGCCGATTCGATTCCCGACCTCTTCTCTGTGGACAATGGTCTGCCAGAGAAGTCTTCTGACGTCGAGACCGCTACCGGCTCTGCTTCTGCTGACAGCACCCCCGCACCGGACGACGCTATGGTAGACGAGTTTCTGGACTTTACTGCCAACGCCTTCTCGCGCGATGAAGTCTTCGAGATCCTTCGTATGTGCGGCGCAAATCTAGTTGTTGCTGTCTCCATGTACCGCAATGCCCGCAGCCCTGACCATATCCGACAGATGCTGAGGGCTTGGCTTGCGCCGCTTGAGAACGGTGGTTTGGGTGACATGGACCGCCAGTCCATTCAAGACGACGAAGTGAACCTTTTACAGTTCACTAACCCCTCGCAAGTCTTCACACCTCTTCACAACGCTGAGCCTACTGGAACAACGATGGATGTGCGAGATGCCGACCGTTTCAACGTACTCCGACCTTTGAAGGACATCGCAAGCTCCACAGAGGAAGACGAGTCCAAGAAGGACCAGGACACGGCCAAGAACAAGACGGGCGCTGTTCGTGCAGCCCCCTCTGTGATTAGTGACGGATATGGCGGTTCAGGTGGGCTAAGGGATCCCCTGTGGGCTCCGTCAAGTTGGCAATACGAGTGTAATGACCTTGCTTGGTTGATAAACCCCAACTCCGCGCCTGGTAATCCGGGGTCTACTGGACCAGGCCCACAGAGCTCAGGAGACGACGCATGGGCTTCCATTGGTAACCTTAAAGACTCCAACAACGCTCCCGAACCAGAAGCTCCTGTATCTACTGACTATACCGTCACCTATTGGGCCACCGTCGAGTCCGGCGACAAAACTGTCCACATTCCCATCAACAGCAGCGACGTCTCCGGTCCCGAGAAGAACATCATCGAGAGCAGCACTGGTATGAAGAAGATCTGGAAATGGGCTCAAGAGAAAGGTCTTAGCGACAAGATCAGCCTTCAAGACGCTTTCGATCTTGCCAAGGACATGCACTGCAAGGACAAAACCGACCAGCCAGTCATTAAGGAGCCTGAGCGTGCCACGGAGGCCCCACGTGCTACCCGCCGCAGTCGTAGCCGCAGCCACAGCCCATATCCACAACGCGCTGCTCCCGCTGTAGGTCTCTCCGGTGTGAACTACGTTTACCCCAACCCCCCGCGTGTTCACCCGATGACCTCTCCGATGAGTCTGGTCGATCCGGCCCACGAGGACGTGTGTGATGAGGGCGAGGGGTGGTCTTGTTATTAGCCTTTTTGGCTTGACGTCTTTTAGGGCTTGGAGTCTTCTATTTCATGCTTTACAGATTTAGGAGTGATTCTCCGCCCGATGGCCTTGCTTTGTTTGTTCTTGATTATGGGATTGCGCATATGAACGAGATCACGGTAAAGGGTCATTGGCTTACAAGACTAACGGATGTTTGCGAGAGGCGGGTTTTCCGTCAGAATGGGTAGTACGGATAGCTGCACTGCTAAGTGCTATGAACGTAGAGAATATTTGTAACTTTGTCTCTCACTGTATAGTGATATCACTAACCCCAGCATTGATGTCTTAGGCATGAAAGATAAACTCGACACTAATATCCGCTCGCACCATGATCTTGGCCTAAACAGACTGCGAATTAGCTTGGGATGAACGTGTGGTGGATGAAGAGTCGTGCACGATGCCGACAAGCCCCACACTCTATTCGCATATTAACGTATATGCAGGTCCATCCACAACGCACCCATGCTCAAGCATGGTAGTCCAGATTATTTCCAACGGCAGTTCACACAGTCTAAAAGCTGTTGTAAACTCTCATAAAGCTGAGAAATATACGAGGAACACCAGCACTACCCTGAGCCAACTCCACATCGTTGCTAGTTGCAAACATCGTCATCTCTCACGATGCGCCATTCAACTCTCCTCAGCGCAACAGCGCTCCTCCCCCTCGGAATGAGCGCCTGCGAACGCGAATTTCTCGCAGCCTTCACATCCCTTTACCTCTCCGCTCAAACCATCGGCAACTCCACGCTCCTTACAAACTACATGCTCCAAAATTTCACCTACACCGAGAACTTCAAGCCCGCAAATCTCTCCGCCGCAACATCCATCATCAACACGCCCCTCAACAGCACCAACTCGCGCGTCTTCCTAGACCCGTACCTCTGCAGCGCGTTCACCGAGATCATCGTGGCAGAGTCAAGCCATCCGTATGTTCTCGGTTTACGCGTAGAGGGCAACGGGAAGTTTGTGACCAAGATGGAGACGTTGGTTAGTGATGAGGGGGATTGGCTGTTCAATGCTACTGGTACGGCGTACTGGAATGCGATGCAGGATTGGTCGCCTGTTCCGCTTGCGGACCAGGATACCCGCGAGGTTATCAAGGCGGCTGGTGATGCGTACTTCGACCGCTTTGGCAATGTCAACGTTACTATCCCGTTTGGTACACCTTGTGCCAGGCTCGAGGGAGGTGCGTATACAGATACGAGTATGACGAATGGTGAGACCTGTTCTCTGGGCCTGCCGAGCACCGTGTATGTTCAGGATCGGCGGTATGTGGTTGATGTTGAGATGGGAAGTGTGAATATCTATGTGGGATTTCCGGGGTTGGATAGGGCAAGTGACACGCCGGCGCCGGACAGTCATACCTTCCGCGTCGAGAAGGGGAAGATCCGGTATGTGCATACTATCTCGACGTGTGAGAACTTTGGGTGTGGACTGAATGGGACGTATATACCGATCGGTGGTGGGAAGAAGACGGCGAGAGGTATCGCTGCTCCAAGGCTTCGAAGGACAAGACGCGCGGTTTAGGGCGATGGTGAGACTAGGTGAATAGGCGTTGTCATAGCTTGCGTCGCTTCGTTTGCTATTCTATACTCGTACTTTCAGGTTGAATCCTGTGATACTCCATCGTCCCACAACCAATATACAACTTCCTAATAACACTGCAGTCCCAGCAAATATCTGCGCACTGAGATAACCTCCACCATTACTCTGTATCAGCGCTCCAGCGATCGGTGGCCCGATAAATGTACCCAATCCTACTATCGCAAGGCCCTGACCGTTTCTCGTGCCTACTTTACTCATGTCCTTTGTCAGCGTAGTCATCACAGCCGGGAAGATACCCTGGAAGCCCGAGACGAAGAAGCCATAGCACACCGCCCACGCGTAAAGGCTAGGCTCGCTGTTGACCAGCGGCCAGAAGTATAGTACAAAAGCGGAGACAAAGCAAAAGGGTATCAGGATGTTGTACGGCCCGGTATACTTGTCGGCGAAATAGGATGGTACAATACGACCAAGGACACCGACACCATTCAGTACTAGCAGAATGTTGATGGAGGTTGCGTATGGTAGACCAAGGATGTCGATCGCGAACGACGAGATGTAGTAGAAGGCGAAGTACTGCCCAAGGGCAATGAGGAAAACTCCCATCAAGAATACACTATACGGCATTTCTCTGAACGCGCTGAGTTCGAGCACTGGGCCAGACTTCCTCGGAGGTAATCGTGGTTTCAACAGCGAGCTGTAACAGATCCCCACGGCCAGCATCATAAAAGCCATAACCCTGACGGTCCATGGGAAACCAATCCGAGGAACTAGCTGTCGTGCGATTGTTGGGTAGACAAGCCCGCCCGTCGCACTGCCGCTAGCCATGATTGCGAGTGCCACGCTTCGATTTTTCGCAAAGTATGTGCTGACAAGTCCCAGAACGGGCGCAAACTGCATCCCGTTCCCAACACCATTCATAACGCCCTGTGCAAGGAAGATCTGCCAATACTTCGTACACAGACTCGTCATGAACATGCCGAGGCAGGAAATGAGCATTCCAGGTATGACGGACCAGTAGAAGTATCCCGCGTCGAAAAGACGCCCGGTCAACATGCCCAGCGAAAAGTGACCCAGCATCTGGAAGCTTCCGATCCAAGATACGGCTGATGGTTCGAGACCCAGATCGAGCGTGTAGTATTGTTGGAAGACGCCGAATGTCGCAATCATCCCCCACGTGTTGAAGATAACGAAGTGGCCCATGAACGCCTGCACCCAGGCTTTGGCGCCGCCATCGGGCGGTGGCCCAGGGTCGATGACGGATGCGTTCGAACGAGCGGTAATCGTCTTAGCCAGTCCGATTACAGACTTCTTTGTACGGGACGCACGAGAGGTGTTTGTTAGTATCCTCTCGATCTCCTCCTCTTCGTGCTGGGATGCTGGTCTTGATGGAACCCTTATTGAGGCGTACGACGCGTCATGATGGCGTTCGGTATTCGCTTCTCCGAACTCCGATGTGGTGGCTTTCTCCACATCGCGGTTGGCACTCATCTCAATGGACCGGAAGGGATGTTGTCAGTTGCCTGAATTGATGAGGAAGAGGAAAGAGTACGGCTTCCAAGAGACGGTGTGGCTGGTGTGTGGATGTTCGAAAGAAGCGCATCCTTCGGTGTTTTATCCGACGGTCAACCATCTTTTCCACTGATCGTCCCCACTCTCCGGCCGCGGAGGCTAGCTGAGATGCGATGCCATCTTGAGCTTGGTTGTTGGATCTGTATGCATGTTGCACGCAGCATGTCCAATTGCGAAGCTTTGCCTGATGATATGGGGAAAGCTTGTGGCTGCTTCCCCAAAATTTCGGCAATAGCACCGCGTTGTTAAGCATCGCGCTAAACGGAATTGGTAGTCGTGTCGTCGATCTTCAAAGCGCGTCCTACGGCTCCATCAACATTGCCACACGACACCACAATGTACATCATGATATCGGGGACGCTTGATTTTCGTGATTATTTCGCAAATGAATCCTCAAAGCTATACTTCATTCGCTTGCGCGACAAGAACACGCGGTAACCTCAATCAAACCTCAAGACCTGCTTTCGCCACCATCCTCACCACTTGGTCATCTGGGGGAAACAAGTGCGTGACGTGCTGGGCGTGAAGATGGCATCGCTATCTAACTTGGGCATCAGCAATTGTATGAAGTCAATCACAGCACGATGCTACATGCCGCCCTGAGATTGCGCGTCGTTGTGAGCAGAACCACCGTCGCTACCAATAGAACTTGGGACAGAACTTCTAGTGAACAGGCCTTTAGTTAGTGTACTGATCGCAATGGTCGACACCTTTGCGCTTGCAAGTGGTAGGACAGTTCGAGCCAGTCTCCCGTAGCGCATGGACGAGGTGACGAGAGAAACAGAAGGCCATATACGCGAAGAAGGGCATTTCTACAGGCCGATATCCAGTATATTTCCGACTAGTAAAGGCAGTAAGTGATTAAGTGGCGTCATTCATAGAATATGGTATGCAAGAGGATTGTCGTTCGAGTGTGACATCTACTCCCCAAGAGAGGCATATGTATTCAACATGGGTTGCTTGGACCACCGTCGATCCGACACAGACTCGTCCAAATCCGCCTCATCAGCACTTCTCTTCCTCCCTGAAGGCGGCGGCGTAACCACAGAAAGAGCGTTCCGATTTTCTGATACGAAGCGCACGATATCCTTCAGCGTCGGTTTCCCCTCTTTCCTACATCCCAGCCACTTGATATTGACCAATGGGAGCCGTATACTCGAGAACAAGGCCGGAAGCTCCTTCGTCAAGTATTGGATCTGCTTCTCGTCAATGGTCTCATTCTTCAGCGCAAACCCCAGATGCAGAAAGCGTGCGTGGGAGGTTATGCTAGGTTTCTGCGTCGGACGCTCATTCTTTGGCTTGAGTCTCCTCAACTCAATGTGTCGGCTGCTGCCTGGGATTCGCCGGAATAGTCTCGGAGGCTGGTCAGAGCGTTCCTTTTCTATGCGCTCAACAAGCTCGTGGGTGTCAAAGTAACTACCACCGGAGCTTTGTACGGCTAACACCTTCAGCTGTCTAATGAGGCAACGAGTGAAAGAGTTCTCGCCGGGCCCAGGGGTGGGCGCGCCCATACGTGAAGCGGCTATCATCTCGAATGTTCGACCGTGCTCCGAGACGTTGCGCATAAGATCACCGGCGTAGCAGCAGTCCATGATAGTGAGGACGTTGGCTTTTACTTTTTCGATTAGTGTCCTCTCAGCGTCATTCCAGATTGCTCGAAGGGTATTATCTCCATCCTCAGTCCTGGTATCGCTGTTAGCTAAATTCCGTGGATTTTGCTTTGGGATATGTACGGTGAGAGCTCGAGGACCTTGAGAGCTTGGTCATAAACACCATGACCGGCGTAGTATACTATAAGCAGATTGTTTGGATCATCGTTTTCGTACACCCAGTTTAATATTCCCATCTCAAGCTGGATTTGCGGACTCTTCTCTTCTAGTTGTAGCTCGGTCACTTCGTAATTGAAGACCTTTTTGAAGACATTCGTCAGGTCGTCGACCTAGTGGATGTAGAGTTAGTATTACAATGCCAAGATGATCAGACGACAGATTAGTTCCATACCTCTTGCCGCACGTTCAGCTGATCTATCGCGTCTTGCCATTTGATCACCAAAACATGTACATTCCGGTATCCATCTGGCAGATCCAGATAGTTTGCGATTGATTTGTCCCAGCATTGTTGAAGTTTCGCTTCATGCTGATCATCTCGAGAAGAGCGAATCTCTCCAGGATTGAGGCTTAAAGGCGAAGGAAGGGTGCTAGTATCGTTCACCGATGATCTAGGTGACAGCGGGTTGGGTACGTCGCAACGACTTAGCGGTGCCATGATGCGAGAATAACTGGAGGTGCGAATGGTGATCAGGGTTGACTCCTGTTGACGAACGTGTTACACGTTCGCATATCTAGTCTAGTCATACACATTTTGGGGGCCGCGAACCTGAGGCTGTGCTTGGTCATGGCCCCTATCATGCCTGTCAGCCACTGAATATATTGATTAGCCAGCATGCAGGTAATACTAGCCACACGATCACATGGAAGGTCCTCCACGCTCCAAAGGCTAATGCTTCTCGGACTCCGCCTCGTTGAACGCCTAGCGTAATGCGATTATTGGCGGGGTCAGGATAGGCGAACGATCAGTAACAATAGGCAAACTGCTGCCTGCGAGAAAAGCAATGATAGCTCACCGGCACGCTGCACCTCGCCCACCATGTCGACAATGAGGGGCTTTCAGCTGAAGATTTAGTGGGCTTTAAAAGCCTTGACTCAGCCTGATATGAAAGGCTGACAACGAGGCCCATTTCCGACTCTTCCAAGGTTCTTACTCGCAGTCATGGCCGACGAAGGACGACAAACAACGCCGGAGGGGCATATCAATGACCAACAACAGGTATGGCTCTATCTATCAGTTCCTTGTGTGTTGCGCACTAACTATGGGCAGACGGAAAAGGGTGCGATGGAGCGTGCAGGGACAGCGAAAGGGTTGGGGGCTGAAGTAAGCGCCATGCACTCCCCTGTCGAGGGTCGGTCTAGACGCTGATTGGTCGCAGACCGTCGCAAAATACGTTCCCGGAAACAACATCCAGATCACAGAAACCATCAACAACAAGCTGAAGAGGAAGAAGCTTTATGTCGCGTTTAGCCAGAAGAACGCGAAAGGAAAGACAGAGTACCAACTTACTGAGACGAAGGACGATACCACGAAGCTCTACATGAACGGGAAGTGGTTTCCTCAGGCCGATGTCTACGTGATTAAATGAGACACCTGGACCAATCAGTATAACGAGGCTTGACCGGTCAAGATGCATATCAGTATTTAGTTCCCAGCTGAGGATGTCAACTATTCCTATCTGCTAGAGACGCCTCTCATATCTTCCATCGTCTGATAATTTCTTCATGTTCAGACCCCTTCCATCATGAGTCCTCCCCCCGCATCGCCGACGGAGAAGGAGTTCTCCAGCCCCTGTACACGGTACTCTAACGCATCTTCATCATCCACTTTTCGTTCCAGCACAACTCTAAACTCACTGCGACAAGTAGCGAACAGCTTCGGACTGTTGCTACCAAGAAAAAAGCCAGCAGATGTAGAACAGCAGGCGAAGCCTGAGTCTCCCCTTGGCGAGGACGAAGATGGTGAAAACGAAGATGGGCCTATCTTCTCACCCGGTGGGTCAGGGCCATATCCAACCAAAGTACGAACACTCGAAAAATGTCCGAACGGCTACGCACGACTCGCAGCCTACAATTCAAGTGAACAAAACTTCATGCTCTACCGTGGCTTTAGCAACGTCCACGCACGTCTCCTCCTAAGCCTCCAATGCAGCATTCAGATGCTCGAAGCCGAGCTAGACAACATTGACCGCTTCCACGACACCCTTCCCGACGAGGCCTCCAAGAAGCGCCTGCGATCCTGGGATCTCGACGTCGCAGCCTGCAGACAAGAGAAAAAAGAAGCAAAAGAAGACGGAGACGAAGACGAAGCCCGAACGCGAGAAGACATTCTAGAGGAACTGAGAATCAAAGTGAACCAATACGACGAGTTACTCATCAAAGCGAGAGAGCTCGTCTCTTTCCAACGACCAACCGAACGTGATTACCGAAGCGTAAGGAACTGGTTCCACAATATTGCGCCCCTTGTGGACGAGGAGCAAGATTACATACTCTGGAAAGAGGATATCGTGACGCTCAGACATGGGAGGGAGTGGGCGGGTTTCGACGGTATGGTCGAAGCGATGCTGCATAAGATGGATGGCCCACTTGTTCAAGTGAGTATTCTATATTTCGAAGGTGTCCGGGCTTTACTTACGAACCCGTAGTGGCTCTTCCGGACCGAGGACCAGAGGCGTAAATCCACGGATGAGAGAAATTACTACTTTGCTCCTTCGAGGGTCTCGACGCTGGTCAATCTCTTCATTACTATTGCGCTTTTCTTGCTACTGGTAGCTCCGGTGTTGGCGATGTATCGTCTCTCGACTATCAAGACGACGGAATGCGTATTTGCGGCTATCGGCATTTTGATGGTTTTCACGCTGCTGTTTGCTGCAGCGATGTCGCTGCTCACGAAGGCGAAGAGGCATGAGTTGTTTGCCGCAGCCGCAGCCTATTGTGCCGTCTTGGTGGTTTTTGTTGGGTCGACTAACTTCAATTGACTTAGAAGATGCTAGAACTATGCTGAACATATCAAAGGCTCAACATGCCTCAAATGCTTCGCGAGCCCATGTTTTACAGGCCCCACGTGCTTCAAATACTATCAGTTCAAGCCTTCATATGCTCCTCAAACAACTTCTTCTGCTTCTCCCACTCCTTCTTAAGCTTCTTCACCCTCCCTTTAGCTACATCAGCGCCATCCTTATCCTTGGTCGGCAGACCATCCTCATCCCACGCACTATACTCCTCAGTCCGGAACATATCCTTGGGGTTGATCTTAGCTTGTTCCGCAAGCTTAGCCTTCTTCTCCGCCTCCTCGCGTTCACGCTTCAGCTTAGCTTCAGCCTTTTGGCGAGCAATTTCCTCTTTCTGTGAACGAGCGGCTTGCAGTTCGGCGTCGACGGGGCGGACCATGGCGGGCGCGTTCTCGCGGTCTTCGAGGTAGATACCGAGATCCCACAGGTGCGTGTCGCGGAGCTGGTCGCACAGGTCGAGGTAGTCTTTCGCGGGCGCTTGCTTCTTCGCAAGGTCTTGTAGAGACTGTTGGAAAGTAGAAAGGACTTCGGCGTATGGGACTGCTTCTATGTCTTGTTGCTTCGCGGGGTTGTGCTGGGCGATGATAGAATCTAGGTTCTCGTTGAGATCACCGGCGATGGCATGCTGCCTTACTTGGTCGCGCTCACGTGAAACAGCGTATACGTGCTCCTTGGCGGCTGAAGGAATGTCAATGCCAGCCCAGCCGATGCCACCATCCCAAGGGTCAGCTGAACCGTCAAGGCCGAATATCCGGACCATGCGAGTGATGTAGCGAGCGACGTCGAATGAGACATCGTCAGACAGTCCAGCCTTGTCGGCTGAGTTGTATTCGGTGATGAGGCTGGAAATCGCACGCATAGCGGTAGGTGTGTCGAACGAGTCGGCTAGCGCACTGATGCTACATTAGTAAAAGTTTCGATATCCATCTTCTCGTGTCTTACCTGTGTACTTTCTCCTTCGCAGATTCGAGAGACTGTTTCACCTTCTCGTCTTCAGCACCGGTCGAACTGATGTTTGGATGTACTTCAAGATCCCGAACTTTGTAGAAGAAGTTGGTGACATAGCTCTCCCATGATGAACCCGACTTTCGCATGTCTGGTGTGATTTCGATACCGTCGTGCCAGCCTCCGAGAAGGAAGATGATGCGCAAACTCCGTGCATTCCAATCACCGCGACTCAGGGCTTCGCGGATTGTGGTGAAGTTCTTCAAGCTCTTTGACATCTTGGATCCTGATATAGACAGATGACCCATATGAAGGAAGTAGTTCACCCACTGCGCACCACCTTCCTTTTGCCAGTAGGCTTCTGACTGTGCTAGTTCGTTGTCGTGATGCGGGAAGCAGAGATCGATACCTCCACTGTGTATGTCCATCTGTTCGCCTAGAACGGCCGAAGCCATGACTGAGCACTCGATATGCCAACCTGGCCGACCCGGACCCCATGGGCTCTTCCATGCTGGTTCTCCCGGTTTCGATGACTTCCAGAGCGCGAAGTCAGAGTCGTTGCGCTTTTCCGAGGTCTTGACTGTTGACAGGGCACCTTCGCCATCTGCTTGCAGATTGGTGTCACCTCTGTTCCATGGCTCCAAGCGTGCGTAGTGGTTCCCCTTTCTCTTCTCGAAACTCTCAATATCGAAGTAAACAGATCCATCCGATGTGCTGTATGCCATGCCGTTCTTGATAATCTTGTCCACAAAAGCTACGATATCATCACCGTACTCAGTCACGCGAGTGACGACATCCGGATCGAGGACGTTGAGTGCTCGCATGTCTTCGTTGAAGCGCGCTTCGTACTTCTTGGTGAGTGTTGTGAAAACCGAGTGGTCGCTGGCATCAATAGTTGAACCATATAGTGAGTCGAGGTAAGGTAACAGTACGTCCTCAGCGCCAGCATAGAAAATCTCCACGTCCTCAGGGGTCGACTTCGATGGAGCCAGCAACGACGTGACTGCTGTGCTGGCCGTCCGGAGGTGCATTTTGATCTTCGCTTCCTTGTCGCCTGGTGGACCGACACCGTCGACGGACTTGCCCTGGATGACATTGGCATACTTCTCCGCAGAATCGCCGTTGAAGCTGCCGATGTTGACATCCTCATTGAGTAGAGGGAGGTTCTTCTTGACATATGCGTCGAAAGCTTTAATGGTGGTGTTGACAACTTCATCCGTTACAGTTGGGTTATCGGCCTTGAACTTGGCAAGAAGATATTGTTGGCGCCCGCGCAGGATGATCTTATCGTCAACGTCTGTGATGTTCTGAACGAACTTCAGCCTGTAACCGTAGTAGTGGGCCAGAATTCTCCGCAGAATGTCGTTTGTGACGTAATTCCGAGCATGACCCAAGTGTGCATCGTCGTAGACGGTAGGACCGCAGCTGTACCACTTGACTTCTTTGCCTTCAGGGTCGATAGGTATGAAGTCATTCTTTGATCTCGTCAAAGAGTTCCAGACTTTCAATTTTGCTGGGCTTGAGCCTTTGGGTTCCTTCCATGGAGGTTGGGTGCGCGCCGGTGTCGCCATGTTGGCTACTAATCTTGGCGATATCTGACTCCGATGTATCCAAGTGCAGTTGGTTTTCGAAAGTAGAAGTGGGGAAGGCGATTTGACGGTGCGGGACAAAGACCGGAAAGCAAGTACCATCAATGTGGCGGGAAACGGGACTGTAAGGAGTGACGGGAAACGGTGGTAGTAGTCAGGCCAGGTGTAAGTCCGGGAGCCGCTTACGGTGAGTCAGTAAGTGATGTTCTCGTCACGTTCTGTTGGTGGTCTATGGGTGAGCAATAAGAATCCCTGTCAGTGAGGGCTTGGCGTTCCCCTCCAATAGCGTCTTCGAAAGCTCCCCGCTGAATATCTTTTTGTTCTCTGGAGCTCCGAGTCGCGATCGCATCATCTCCACATCTTTGGTCTGTCGCGACTTCCTACACCCATGGCGACGACACCTTCCCCGTTCCTTGACCCGGGGACTTGCGCGACAGCAGATAATCTCGGTATATTACAATTGCGCCGCGATCAACTTATTCCTGCCGTCTTGAGACCTGAAGCCGATTCCGACTATCCTGAAGGCAAGGTCGAGAACACGCGATTCGGTTCTTTCCCACATAGCACACTCGTCGGTCAGCCTTGGGGTACGCAAATCCTTGCGTCACTCGTTGACACTGGATCGCGCGGAAAAAACAAGAAGCGCAAGAGAGACACCAAAGATGAAGGAGAGGGCACACCAGTCGCCGAGCCGGATGCGGCGAAGAAGGACATCGTGAAGGCTGCCGCAGCGAGTAGTGGTTTTGCGCATCTCATACCACCTACGCCAGAGATGTGGACGATATCGTTACCGCACCGCACCCAAGTCGTATACACGCCTGATTACAGTTACATCTTGCAGAGACTGCGCGCAAGGCCGGGCGACCACATAATCGAGGCCGGCGCAGGCAGCGGAAGCTTTACGCATGCATCGGTACGAGCCGTCTACAATGGCTACCCGGGGACACAAGCTACAGAGCCCGAGACAAACGGCGACGAGGAGAATGCAGTAGGCACGTCCAAGAAGAGGAAGCGCAAGACGCGGACCGGCGGTGTATACAGCTTTGAGTACCATCAACCGCGCGCAGAGCAGCTACAGCTCGAGATCAAGGAGCATGGCCTGGGACCTCTAGTCAAAGTAACACATCGCGACGTATACAACGACGGTTTCAATCTCGAAGATTCGACAGGCCCAGACGCCGACTGCGTATTCCTCGATCTGCCAGCACCATGGCACGCGCTCAAGCACCTCACGCGCTCCCCTCCCTCCTCCGCCGCATTGAAGTCCGTCGCTTCAGACCCATCCACACCAGACGAACCCGCAACCGAAGCACCACCACCGAACACTTCCTCCTCGAAACCCTTCCGCAGCCCCCTCAACCCGCGCAACGCAGTCCGTATCTGCACGTTCTCGCCCTGCATCGAACAAGTCACAAAGACCGTCTCAGCCCTCCGCACCCTCGGCTGGGTGGAAATAGACATGGTGGAGATCAATGCGAAGCGCCTCGATGTACGTCGTGAGCGCGTCGGTCTGCAAGAAGAAGGTGTTCGCGGCGGTAATGCGCATCCCGCGAATGTGCAGGAAGCGGTACAAAGACTCAGGGATGTGGAAGGGCGTGCGGCAGTGTTCCACAGCATGCAGCGCGAGAAGCAAGAGGAGGTTATGCGGAAGGCTGAGGCGCGGAAACGCGGGGAGAATGTGGATAAAGAAGGCGTGGGCCAGGGCAAGAAGAAGAAGATGGAAGGCGTGCCGCCGAGTAAGCATGACAGGCTTGCTCAGTCGAAGAAGGACATGGAGAGCCGGACACTGTTCAAGGAGGGCAGGCTGGTGCATAGGACTGAGCCGGAGCTCAAGACGCATACCTCATATCTTGTCTTCGCAGTACTACCACGGGAGTGGACCAAGGAAGACGAGGAGAAAGCGAAGAGGAAGTGGGGTTGAAATTGGAGCATACTATATCAATAGAAGATACCCAGATTACGAAAACTATTCTTCAGAACTGGAGCTCTGCTCCTCATTCCTAAGAAAAGACATCTGCCTAAAACTAACGAGAACACCTTCGACCCTGCCATTTCCAGGCACCCACTATCCCCACACGGCATCCTTTGCCCTATGGCTACCACTCCTCCCCGGTGGTGTGCTGATACTGTGCGTCCAGGCCTCGTTTCCGTCGATGAACAGCCTATAGTTAACGAAGCTCTGCTCGCCATGTTCAGGTGTGGTAATCTCTACAGCACCAAACTTGCTGTTTCCGTCGGGAAGGTACTTGAGGCATACATCCTCGTCATCTGTCTCCTTGTATGTTCTGAAGGGCAGGTAGAACATGCTCAGCGGGCTGGTGCTGAACTCATGTACCGTAGCGCTCGTAGGCCACTTGCCATCCTTCGGTGGTGGAAAAGACGTAGCGGCGAATTCGTGACGGTCACCGCTAAGGACTACGACGCCGATATCGTGCGCGGAAGAGAGGTCCCAGGCAGCTTCCAGGATACGTCTGCGCTCATACAGATGCCCGCCCCATGTGTCTTCCGACCCGAATTGCCAGTTCTTTGTGAAGGGTGTACCCGTGACAATGAACTTCCAGTGAACACCCGGAGGTGGTAGTTTATGTATCCAGTCCAGAAGATCGGAGAGCTGCTGGGCACCGAGCATGGTTTTCGTGGGGTCAGAAGCGTCTTTGCTCGCGGGGGTACGGTATCGTCGCGTGTCGAGGAGGAAGAACTCTGCTGGGCCTTGTGTGAAAGAGAAGTAAGTGACACCTTCGCGATGAGGAGGAGGGTTGGGCGCGGCGTTGTAGTGCGTGAAGGCGTCGTAGGCTGGGACTGCTACACCCGTCATGTTGCTGTTCCAGTCATTGTGAATCTCATGATCGTCAATGACGTGGATCCATGGCAGGTTCTCGCTCACTGCCGGCCATGATGGCGAAGAGTAGACCTGTCGGTACTCGCGTCTGTAGGTCTCTACATCGCTACCCTGACGATGTGGCACGTCGACGTAAATGAAGTCGCCGAGAAACAGCATGAAGTAGGGCTTAAGCTCTGGTAGCCAGCGCGCTAGGTGTTTCATGCCGGGGAATTCGAGAGGGTGCTGGAAGGGCGTGTACGGGACGCGAGGCTTGATGCAGCTCGAGTGCACGAAAGTGTATTTGTTGTCCTTAAGCATCGATATGCGCCCCGGTTTCGGCGCGGTCGTGAAGGTGCCTGATATGTTTCCCCGCGAAGTCTCGACGATGTACTCGTAAGGCAGATCGGGTCGCAGGTGTTCGATGTTCATGACGGTCGTGAAGTCGGTCTCGTTGGTGAGCCAATACTCGGGTTGGCTGGCGCGGTGGGTCTTGTGCATCCACGATCGTTCGGTTCCATCGATGGAGCGATAGAGGACCTTCACGTCAAAGGCGTACGGCTCTCGCACTAGGATCTTTGCGCTGTTTTCCGACACGTAGCCGACGCGTGCAAAGCTCGCATCGTGGCATTGGTGGAGTAACGGAGCGCGATAGACAACGTCTAAGGCCATGGCAATCAGAGCCATGTTGATGCCAAAGGTGATCCAGCTCCACATGGCTGATGAAGGGCTTGGGAGCCCAGTGAGCAGTGTACGCAGCACCTTGGGCTCTCTTTCTTCATATTGGACAGTCTCTTGGACGTCAAGCTCTTTCAGCGGCCCATCATCTGCACCGTCGATAAGCTGTACTTCTTCGCCGGAGTCATCACCGCGTCCACCAACAGTTTCCTTCACGATGATATCAAGTTCATCGGATATGATCTTGTATTGCGCCGTGTCCTGGAAGCTGGTGAAGAAGGAGGGGATGTAGACGAGCGTGAGTGCGGTCGCAAGTGCAGGTACGATCGTTGTGGGTATCTGCAGAACGGTTAGCTACATGCATCAAGCAGTCATTCTCTCATGCATACCCATCGCAGAAAGATCCATATGCTCAGACGGAGTGTCAAAGAGCTAATGAGGGTAAGAACATCGCTCGCAGATGCCATGTTTGCTAAGCCACAAGCATCACTCGGCAGAGGTTTGACGGGGAGAGATGCGCGTCTCGAAGCTTGTGAAAGTGGAGCCGTCGTCACGCCAGACGCGAATTACCATGACGTCGTTGGCGCTAACGATGGAACAAGCTAGCGGTTCTGCGAACGCGTCTGTGAACGTGTGACTTTGCCATTCACTCACACCACGAACTACAGTCATCTACGATACAAGACCCATCGCGTTCTCAAACTTATCATCACGTAGATATTATGGATAGGCTTAACAGCAAAGAAGGATGCGTCTTACCTATCTGAGGATGCATGCCCGGGCTGAGTTAAGCGACATGCATCTTCAGCTCCTCTACCCGTCAGGCTGAGATACTGGCACATCCTCTTTCCCCGCTTTCCAGATCTCCGCCTCCGGCATACAACATGCGTCTTATCAACACAAGGACTCGGAAATTCCAAGAGTTCATAGGCGCATCGATCCCCCCATACGCAATTCTATCGCACACGTGGGGCAATGAGGAGGTGTCGTATAGGGACTACGTTGAAACCCGTGATGCCTCCATGAGAGGCTACAGGAAGATTGTCAAGACGTGTGAGATCGCGAAAGAAGCTGGTATTACGCACTGTTGGATCGATACCTGCTGCATTGACAAAAGCAGTAGCGCTGAGCTTACGGAAGCGATCAATTCCATGTATCGATGGTACAAAGATGCAAAAGTCTGTTACGTCCATCTGGAGGACTTGGCTTCCGCTGCAGCGATAAGTGTCGATTTACCGAAATGCCGCTGGTACGCCCAATTACTCCGTCTACGCTTTGCGTACTGAGCATACTAGGTTCACGCGTGGTTGGACTCTCCAAGAACTGATTGCTCCACGCGACATTCAATTCTATAATGCCAGATGGAACTACATCGGTCTCAAAACGGATCTTGTCGATAATTTGTCGACCATCACTGGCATTGGCGTAGAGATCCTACTGCATAATCGGTCATTGGACCTGGTGTCAGTGGCAACAAGAATGTCTTGGGCGGCAAAGAGAAATACCACGCGGACTGAAGATATAGCCTACTGCCTACTTGGAATCTTTGGCGTCAATCTCCCATTACTGTACGGCGAGGCTGAAAAGGCTTTCCAGCGACTTCAAGAGGAAATAATTCGTTCGAAAGCCGATCTCAGTATCTTTGCTTGGCAATGCGTGCGGCCTCCAGGGGTTGACAGATGGACGCTTACCGGTGTTCTCGCGCATTCGCCAAAAGACTTTGTCAATGGTCACATCGTGCAACGCATGTATGGGAGGGAAGCTCACGAGTTCTCCTTTACCAACGTCGGCATCAAAACGCGTCTGCGCAACCTTTGGGCTCAAGACTACGGCTGTGTTATGCAGTTGAACAGCTTTTCAATCGAAACGGGAAAGCACTTGGCGCTAAGACTGCGCAAAGTTGGTCCAGAAATGTACCTGAGAGAGGGACCGTATGATCTTCTAGAGTATGCTACTGGCGCCTTTCACGAGCGAAGATCTGTCGAACGATACCTCCTTACTGCCATACCGGCAATACCAAGATTCTCGGATTGGTTGGATCCATCGGTAAGGTTCCAACACGCAGAAAGGCTGTTAGATTTCATGCGAGAATTTCCCGTGCGCGTCAAGCTACCACCGGAAGTTCAGTTAGTCAAGATGTGGCCATCTGAACGATGGGATGAAGAAGATCGGCTGTTCTTTGTCTCTGGCGATTCTCGTTGGGATTCGTTCCAGTTGAACCTGCGCTACGAACTCATTTACGATGCCAAGTCCCCTGACGGGACTGTCACTGAAGCTACCACAACCTTTAGCTTTACTCTGTATGCGTTGGGATGGTCTCATATACAACTTGACGCTGTAGATCGTGCTTCATTCGGTCTCGTAGACTGTCTAGAATATGGACCGACTGTGGACAAGATTCATCGGTGGATTTTGGACGAGGAGCCGACCACAGCTTCCATATCCAAGTGGTTCGCGAAGGAAAAGATGCCGAGAAACCAACTGATACGCTACGATATACCTCAGTCCCCTCGTAGCCTGGTAATAAAGATTGAAAGCACGCTGGATAACATTGTCACTTTGACAGCAGAGGAGATGCCTACTATCAATGCGCCAGAGCGCGTCACACAACAATGGCCTGAGTTCAGGGACTACTAGATCGATGTCACAAACCGCTCATGTACATATGCTACACAACCAACATCTCTTTCACCGTAGCCAACCCGACTCTACATCCGCTACTAAGTGTCCATACATGTTTGGCGCAAAGTCTCCTGTTCAGGCACCTCGGCGTCCTCGCATTGTATCTCCTCTTACCGCCGTCGAACCAAACAAATCAGAAGTCTCCATCGCTCAAAGATCTTGCCAATTCTGGTTTAATACCAATGTAGACTGCAGAACACCTCCTCAATTTCTTGCTTCACAAGGGTGCAATCCTCAACTTTATGGTATTCGTAAATTTTATCTTCGACATAGAGATGGAAGTTGGCGACTGCACGAACAAAGAATCAATGAACACGTTCAGAGCACAGAGCACATGATTTGGCGGTTAGTGACGAGCTCACCAACACCCCGGGCCGCCGCATAGTCGGCCGAGGGTCTAACAAATGTATTCCAAATTTTGTACACGCACAAGAAGGTTTTATGCATGGTCAAAGGATGAAGTGCACCAGAGGATTGGACGTGATACATAGCGCTTCAATGAGAAGCCAGACTGGAGTGACATTTGAGCGAAGACAGGATGGTGGCAAAGAAGCGCAGCCAGACCAAAGCGATAGGAGAAATGACACGCCAGACGAAAGTGTCAGACCTGTAACGCAGTGATAGTGGGGTCTTGTTGCTGCGCTAAGCTGTTCACTTTAACAGACAACAAAGATGTCAATTAAAGGATCCGTTCGATAGAACTGCGACGACCAAAATGACGACGATAGTTTTCTTGCTCTTCCCTTACCTTATCGTCCGTCATCATATCACCTAACTTCCCATCCACTTCCCGTCTCATCTCCACACGCATCCCTCGCGGACGATCAAACAGCCCTCATACTCCTACGCAGCCACAACCACATTCACATGCACGCCATACTCCGTCCCTCCGCTATCACAATCACAAGTTCCTGCATCCCTCCTCCACAAGCTTATCTTCCTTCGACGCGGTTTGCCATGCGGCCAAGACGCTCTTTCCTTTTCCAGAAGATATGAGCGCATTCGCGGACCCTAACGTGTTTCACCTTGACGAAGGAACAATCATAACACGACCACGACACGGAACGCGACGCGACATGAGACGGGACATGACGGCAAATGTCAATACAGTAATCAACCCACCCCGTTGTCGTCGTAGTCGTAGCCGTAGTCATGTAGTCGTGGTCGTGAGATTAAGGCATATCCCGGCCACAAACACCCAGGTATGCACGTGCCACACGGAGAAATCTTACATTCGAAAGGAAGAAAGGCGGCAAGAAGGCGATCACAAGGGTGTCGTCGGAACGCTGTTGCTGTCTGGTAAGTTTGAGATGAACGGGTATCTGATCGGGGTCGGTGGTTTTCACGGCGAGAACAAGGGGAATGCGGCAGCGCCGAGTCAAGTCACGGGCTGAAGGGTCCTTTTTGTTCGTCAATTTCGGACGGCGGGTTATAGACAGGGTTGGGTCGGATATTGAGATCGCCTGAGTGAGGCTGCTTTTTTTTTTTGCTGTATCTCGTGTCTATCTGGCAGGTGGGGTGCGTCGTGGGTGTGACCGTGTGATGGTGGAGTGGAGAAGGGATGGGCGGTGGGTGGAGTAAAACGGTCGTCGCGTCGGGGGACAGAACGGTGTCTATTGCGACTTAGTCAGGATAGCCGAGCATGGATGCTGATGGTGAGTCGAGATACTCATCTCATTGGCGGTATGATTGATGAAGCGACGGAGGGGAACGCATGGACTACACCTGCACTGTAGCAAAGGCAACGCAAATTCCCATCATTGTCGCACTGCAGGTATACGCGGAGAGGGCGTTGTCAAGTCTTTTTCCTCCGGCTCTAGCAACTACTCCGGAGTACTATCGTTTGCGTACCCGAGTAAAAAGCATACAGAGTTCACACATCCAGCCGACACGTACATACGCTACACATGTCGGGTGTCTGTAAACTGTCGGTGTTAGCCGATAGGCTGCATGTTTCGTGGTCCAGTCAGTTTCCTTCTGTTCGCCTCGTTCGTCTTCCCTAACAGGGACAAAACAAGGGTACCTGTCCCCACATCAGTCACCCTGCGATAGCCAAGCCCAAAGAAACACAGCGCAAAACTGGGTCTTTGGACGCCTTCGGTCCGCGGCAAAGCAGGGTGCTGGTGGGGACGGCGGAACTCAGTCGGTCCTGGGAAGAATGCCTTTTTTTCCGGAGCCGAAGGTGTTGTAGGAAGAGGAAACTTGGATTTTGGAAAGTTGAGACCCAAGGTCCACTGTAGAGAGGGTCTGGCAACGTCATGTTGGACCGTGGTGTTGGGTTCGCGAAGGTTTGTTGATGCCTGGTTATGCTGGGAAAGGTGGTTGGAAACCTGGTGGTTGGGCTGCGTGATGTGGCGTCATTGTGCATGCGCGCTGTCGATGTCGTTGTCGCAAGTTGATGGCGTGATACTCGGGAGTACCATGAACATGTACGTCACAAGGCAAAGGTGTCAGCCATGATCACGGATTCTGGCAGAGCGACGTGACAGGGAAAGTGTTGTAAGCGAAGTAGATTCTATTCTTCTCGTCTCGCTAAGCGATGACAACTAATTGGGATATCATGACTGTTCGTTCCGAAACAAAACAAAGTCAGGCTGCAAGCTGAGCGACAAATTGTAAAATGACAAGAAAATATGCATGCTGGATGCGATGATAGCGACAGATAGATGTGTGGCGGCGAACACTTCGCGATTGCCAACGACTGAGCAGCTGGGAGGGTATCGTAACCTCTAGAGAACAAACAGGAACGGAGAGTAGAGGACAAGGAAATGCCATGTCGTGCGCCATGGGTACACCGGGTATTATGCGCTAAGGTTGCTTAAGTGCCAAGGCGGCGAGCAGGGAAGAAGGTAGTGGCTGGTAGAGTAACATGTACAAGGTAGTCGCATGCTGGGGTGGTTCGTCTATGCATTTATGCGAGCGTTTCGAAACAGATTGAGTTCTTGATGCGTTCATAGGGAATCCATGAAATCCATCAGTGACTTGCGTCGTCGGATTGCGCGGCTCTTGATGCTGGATGTCGCGTCATCGGTCTCGCTGCCAGGAAACTCTGGTATGACGAGTGTAGGCTCACGCTCGTTGGCGCCCCGAGCGGTCATCCTGCCCATGGAGGTGCCCATGGTGGTGGAACGCTTTTGCTGCATAGTGCTGAGTTGCGGGACCGGAGGTGCGTTCTCGGGTGTTGGTGCCCGCTTGGACTCGCTGCCGCGAGACTTGGGTCGGAGGATGGTAGATGCGCGGCGGAGCTTGTTTGGGCTGGAGAAGTTGTCTGAGCCTTGGATGGGTGCAGTCATGGGAGTCATGGGCGCTGGTGTCAGCGGTGTGGTGGGTCCTCCTGGGGCTCGGCCGTTGATGCGAGAGTCGTATGGCTTCTTCGCTGGCGAGATGGCAATCTTGGCCAGAGAGAGCTTCATCGAGATCGAGCGTAACCGTCGGTGCGCAGCGGGCTTCTTGATGATGGGCGATGCCGCGCTCTTGTTCTGGTTCTCGTAAGGGTCGGAGCTGAGGAAGGATAGAGCGGGGGACTGGGGAGTCAGCGGGGCGAATTGTGATTGCCTATGCGATTGGTATGATGATTGTGACGTCTGTATCCGTGACAGGTCAAGGCGGGACTTTGTGGCAACGTATACGGAGGAACGAGCGGAGGTGGAGGGCCGGCGAGGTGGCTCGCTCGGTGCAGGCGAGTAGCTGCGACTTGAGCCGGTCTGGAACGACGATGTGAAGGAAGCGGAGTCGGGGTATGTGGTCGGCTTCTGTGTGATGGGGCTGTGGCTGGTGGAGGGTCGGCGAGGCTCGGGGTCGGCGACGGGTGATGTGGAGCGAGATAGAGGTGGTGAAGCCAGGCGGCTTGTGGGCATGACCTTCATAGACAGGCGCTGTGCCTCGTCGGCCTTGCGTAGCTTGCTGGCTGTGGTAATTGGGAGCAGGTTCGCGACTGAGGCCGAGCGCGGCTGCACCGTTGGGCGATCGACAGGTGAGCGGCAGTCGACCTCAACGACCTTGGGACGACCTGCATTCGCGTACGAGACTAGCACGGCCATGTCGCAGCTCTTTCCCTTGTCCCATCTCGACACAGACATAGTCCTCGCCTTGCACTCCTGTGAGAGGTCGTGGACAACCACGTCATCGTAGTCATATTCTGATTCAGAGGCGGAACCGTCGTCGGCAGTGAGGTCTTCTTCGCTGGAGAGGTATCGCTCCTGGAAAACTCTGCCTTCCTTCTTGGTGGAGGGACTCGAGGTTGGTGCAGCGGCGGAGTCTATGCGCAGGGTGTCGGGAGCATCGTCGCACAGGTTGGGGCTCGAGGCGGCACTGTCAGTACTGGAGCGCTGTGGGCGGGCGACAACTTCAGGCTTGGCGAAAGTCCACTGCTTCAATTGCGAAGTCACAGCAACGTCGACCATGATTGCGGAGGGAGAATGGAATTGCACCGGCGTGGCGGGTCCAGTTGGTGATATATCGGACTGGCTATCGGACTGAGCGGCAGCCGGGACGAGTTGAAACCAAGGCGTGCAGGTGCTACGCGCCAATGGTCGGAGACGTGTGCGTGGCTTGGGAGCACCAGGCAAGCCGGCGCTGAGTGAGACTGGCTGTTGCACGGGGTGGTGTGTTGGAGCGTGAGATGTCAGAGGGTTTGGCACTGAGGGGCACTCCAGGGCAGTATGTAGGCGTGGTGTGCAGTAGGGTGGGTTGAGAAAGACCGACGCTATATTACGCACATTGGCGAGGGCTGTATATATTGCAGCACTTTCCAAGGCTGCCCACCCCTGGCAGGCGTCGAGGTTTCAAGTACAACCGAGGAGCGAGGGAACCCAAGAGTCAGTTCACCGTGTCGGTGCGCCATTCATCATCTCACGCTGGGCTAGCACAGGCACGCTGCACTGACGCTTGGGGGCTGCATGGCGCAACTCTGCACTGGACTAGCAGATGCGCTCAGGAACCTGATGTGGGTGGCC